GAAGTGGGCAAAAAAATTGGAAGATGTACATTACTGGAGCGGAATTATGGGGAATACAAGAAGGATTAAAAACGGCGTGGATGAAATGTGAAAGAAAAATTATCGTGGAATCAGATAGTAAGGAAGCAGTGAACCTGATAAAGAACAAATCTTTAGAACACAGACAGTTAACAATCCTTCAACATATTGAGGTTCTAGTCAAAAGAAACTGGGTTGTGGAGTTAGAGAACGTACCAAGGGAGGCCAACCGCGCCGCTGATTTCATCGCCAAGCATATGAAGAGCCAACAGGAGGAAAATAAATTTCTTAGTAATTGCCCTAAAGAAGCGAAGGAGATTATTCTAGCTGATAAAATGGGCACCTAAGAGACCCATTATCCTGTATTCAACAAAAAAAAAAGCTAGTTTCAAGTTTAATTTGATTTAAGTTTTTAATAAACTAAGGGTCAATTTGTTGCACTGAAAATATTTTCCAGAAAAATATTTTTCATAAAATGAATTACATCTTCTGGAAAATGTTTTATGGTGTTTGGAAGATGTTGTGTAAACCATTTTTCACTAGTTGATAAATTTTTTAGAAATTATTTATTGCAAATATAACATATAATAAATAATATTATTTATTATAAAAACTTAATATTATTATTTTAAAAATATTAGAATAATTTATTTAATACTATTTATACCGATATTATTATTATTAAAATATTATTTCTATAATTTTATAAATAAAAATATTAACTCTAGTATATTCTATTAAAATAAAAATATGATTTTGAATATCTATAAAAATAAAAATATTATATTTTAAAATTATTAATAAATATATTTTAAGGAATTTTTATAATATTATTATACTATTATATTAATATTAAATACATAAATAAAAGTATTCACTATTAATAATTCAATAATATTATTTTTAAGAAATTAATAAATAATATAATTTTTATTAATAAATTATTATATATTATTAAAATAAAAATATAATAGTATCATATATTATTATAATATGATTGAGTATATTATTGTAATAATATTATTATTATATTATATTATATTATATTATTAAAAATATTAATAAAAATATTTTAAATATGTTAATAATTAATATTTTTATTAAATGATACTAAAATATCATGTTGATATTAAATTTATAAAATAATATTATTTTGAATATTTATGCTTTAAAGTAAAAATTTTGGAAAATGATTTACGGAAAATTAAATCGTAAGTCATTTTCAAGAAAATCCAAAAGAAATTTTGTTGACCAGGAAAATGTTTTACATTGACCAATTTGTTTTCCTCCAATCAAACATTTAAAAGTGAGGAAAATGTTTTCCGGAAAATGTTTTACGTAAAACAAACGGACCCTAAAACGAATTATTTGATACTTTACTCGAAAGCTTGAGACAACTCAAAAAATAATATATTACAATTTTATTTTTTAACTAAATTATTAACAATATTAACACTAATATGTTTTTTAATATAATATAAGACTTTTATATACTTAAGATTCATATTTGAATTTGAGTTTGAACTTGAATCGAGTTTGAGTTTGAGCTTCAATCGAAATGTTTCAAGATTTTTTGAGTTGAAATCAAGTTTCAATTATTGATTTTGAGTCGAACTTAAAAAATTTAAACTTACATAATTTTAAATAGAATGAAACTAAATTTTAAAATCAAATCCAATTCGATAATACTTAAATTCAATTTAACTTCCCATCTCTTGCACATGGATACCCTACCAACGGCAGAGTTCAAAACGATCACGTCAGCCACCTGAAGGATTCTTTTATAAATTTTAGGCAATCAGCAAACCTCAACACTGTTTCTCTTTTAGTTTGTCTTCTTTCTCTCCATTTTGCAATCTGTGTGGCGTGTTTTGCTATTGCTTATCGTTCTCAATATATATATATATATATATATATATATATATATATATATATATATATATATATATATATATATATTAAAATTAACTTTGAAATACAAAATACTTTATAAAGGCGTTTAGACAATCTTATCTCGTGTCTAAGCCACCAAGTACAATGATAAAGTTTTGCCTTTCAATCAAATTGCAATCCCATCTAGAAGCCTTTTTAATTAAATTAATCTAACCAATATCTATCACACATAAATTAACCAAATTTAAAATATTTGAGAGAAAAAACGTAATGTTACAGACTAAATTTGTGAGGAAAAATAGTTTGGTGACCCAATGAAATAGTTTACCCATCCCATGATTTTATACAGAATGATTTGATATACGACTATAGCAAAACGAATCCAATAAAGTAACGCCATTATACTGATTACTGAGTAACGACTATGAGAGATCCCAAGGCTGCCCACAACCCAGCAATACAATCACATCATAATCACTCTATTTACTGACACCCAGCTTTATTAATAACCTCGAAGGAACAACACCAAAACCGAATTCCCAACGCTGTTGCTCCTTTCGGCATATAACTTTCCTTTTCCGTTCCGATGACGAAGAAAGCGGAGCTGGTGTTCATTCCGATGCCTGGAATGGGCCATTTGGTATCCACAGTTCAATTGGCTAAGCTTTTAGTGGATCTTAATTCCAACCTCTCCATTACCGTCCTCACCAGCAAATCACCCTACGACGGTAAAGTCTCTGCCTACGTTGACTCTCTCACCGCCGCCGCCAGCACAACCAGCCGCATCAAATTCATCAACCTCCCTCATCCTGACCCGGACGCCGATATTTTCAAGTTTATGAGTAGTTTAGTTCAAACCCAGTTACCACTTGTGAAAGAGGCCGTCACCAACATAGTTGAGCTCTCCAACTCAGTTCCCGAATCACCTCGACTTGCCGGTTTCGTTCTCGATATGTTCTTGACTGCTTTTGCAGAGTTGGCTAACGAGTTCGGCGTTCCTAGCTATGCATTTTACACCTCGGGTGCTGCTTTTCTTGGCTTCCAGTTCTACACTCAAGTTCTTAACGATGAGCAAAACGTTGATTTCGTCGAGTTAAAAGACCCGGACACTGAGTTCATCATTCAATCGTATATCAACCCGGTTTCCATTAAACTATTTCCAACTGAAATGTTCAGTCCTGCTAGTATTACCTTCCTCCTCAACATGGCGAGAGGACTAAGAGAGATGAAGGGCATAATGGTAAATACATTTTCAGAGCTCGAATCTCATGCGGTTGAGACTCTTTCTAACGGTAAGCTTCAACAAATTCCACCCGTTTATCCAGTGGGACCGATATTGGATCTTACGGGCTCAAGTCAGGTCCATGATAATTATGATACAATCATGCAATGGCTCGACGAACAACCTGGGTCATCGGTCGTGTTCCTCTGTTTCGGGAGCAAGGGAAGCTTCAGTGTGGATCAAGTTATAGAGATCGCCAACGCGCTACAGCAAAGTAGACACCGGTTCTTGTGGTCTCTACGACGACCGGGGGAGCAAGTAAAAGGCAAGAAGGGAAGCCCGACTGATTACGAGAACGTGGAAGAGGTGTTGCCGGAAGGGTTCTTAGATCGGATGGCTGGGATTGGTATGGTCATCGGTTGGGCACCACAAGTGGCCATCTTGGGCCATCCGGCGATCGGAGGGTTCGTTTCGCATTGTGGGTGGAATTCGACGTTGGAGAGTATATGGTTAGGAGTGCCGATGGCCGCATGGCCACTTTACGCAGAGCAACGTACGAATGCATTCTTACTGGTGGAGGAGTTAGGATTGGCGGTAGAGATTAAAATGGATTACAAAAACTATGGCGATGAGGTTGAAATTGTGAAGGCCGACAAGATAGAGAATGGAATAAGAAGGTTGATGGAGCAGGACAGTGACGTTCGAAAGAGGATGAAAGAGATGAGTGATAAGAGTAGAAAGGCCTTAACAAACAGTGGATCTTCACACTCCACATTATATCGTTTTATCGATGATATTATAAATAATATACATAAATAATTAGGGCAAAGTACATTAAATGATCCATAGTCCTCAAATATTAGAAGTTATAAAATATAGTTATAAAATATTCACGTGATTATAAAATAATATTTTGTTAAGTTTCTCGACTATTAAAAGTTATAAAATGATCATTCGACTATTAATTATATTTTATACTCGTCTTTTTTCATTAAAAAATTAACGGTATTTTGAGTTGAACGTTAAACTGTTGTTTGTGATATGATAAAATCTTATTCCAAAATATTTTGTTATTTTTAATTTAAAATATTTCTAATAAAAATTTATTGTTATCTGTAATCATTGAGCGACTTCAATGATAAAATGAAGTATTGTTTTATTTTTAAAAATATCAAACAAGAATATGTATATATTTATTATCAAATAAGTAAAATAATCCTAAATTCATGATCATCTCCAACGAAAGCTGCTCTCAATCTGGTGTTGGAGACAGCCTACTATACTATCTCCCTCTTACCTCATTACATACGGAAATAAGAGTCAGCTAATTTATTTTCAACCAAGGTTGCCAACAATGTTTAGACACGGTCACGTTATCAAAGTTAGAGTTCAAAATTATCACGGCAAATTTATTAAATTTTAAATGCCAATGCAAATTTAAAAAGTTGCATGGAAAATCTTACAATAAAGCCAAAGTACTGCCTTCAAAAATCTAAGTCGAGATAAATTTCAGTTTCTAGTGCTTGTTTCATTGCTAGATATATGACGCGAGCTATTATTGTTTCTAAGCCACATAAGTGCAATAAGGATAACGTTTTCCAATACTATAAACTTCTATCAATTAAATTATTCAAATCAAAATGAATTAAGAATGAGTTTGATCAAATCGGAGCCGTTTTACTTAATTTAATGGTATATTATTAAAATTCAATTTTAGTATTTAATTAAATAATCGTTTTAATTAATAATATAAACAATTAGTCAAACAAAATTTAAGTTTTAGGGTGGGTGGCCGCTCTCAATATAGCGTACATCCGCCAGTGACTAGCTTCATTTATGATCTAGAATAAACTATCGGCCAAAACCAAAGCGACGCTGCCATCGATCTATCTTCATCGACTTTCCTTTTCCGTTTCGAGATGATGAAGAAAGCGGAGCTAGTGTTCATCCCAGTGCCTGCAATAGGTCATTTGGTATCCGCAATTCAATTGGCTAAGCTTTTAGTGGATCTCAATTCCAACCTCTCCATCACAGTCCTCGCCATCAAGCCACCCCGCGACGCAAAAGTCTCCGCCTACATCGACTCTCTCGCAGCCGCCACCCGCATCAAATTCGTTGTCCTCCAACAATCTGGCGCAGAAGTTGATGTTTTCAGGTTTTTGGGTTCTTTAGTTCAAACCCACAGACAGCTTGTGAAAGAGGCCGTCACCAGCATAGTTGAGCACTCCAACTCCGTTCCAGACTCACCTCGACTCGCGGGGTTCGTTATCGACGTGTTTTTAACTCCTCTCGTAACCTTGGCTAACGAGTTCGGCGTTCCTAGCTACGCGTTTTACACTGCGGGTGCTGGTTTTCTTGGCTTCCAATTCTACACTCAAGCTCTTCACGATGAACAAAACGTTGATTTCGTCGAGTTAAAAGACTCGGACACTGAGTTCACCATTCCATCATATGTCAACCCGGTTTCCATTAGATTATTTCCGTCCGTAATGTTAAATCCTCAAGCAGTTACCATCTTCCTTAACATGGCGAAAGGGTTACGAGCGGTGAAGGGTATAATGGTAAATACATTTTCCGAGTTTGAGACCCATGCGCTTGATTACCTTACTAATGGTAAGCTTCAAATTCCACCCGTTTACCCGGTGGGACCCATATTGAATCTCGAAGGCTTAAGCAGAGTCCATCAGAATTATGATACAATCATGCAATGGCTCAACGAACAACCTCGTTCATCGGTAGTGTTCCTCTGCTTCGGAAGCATGGGAAGCTTCAGTGTGGCTCAAGTGAAAGAGATCGCCAACGCACTGGAGCAGAGTGGGCACCGATTCTTGTGGTCTTTACGGCGACCGGCGGAGCAAGTAAAGGGTATTAATGGATGTCCGTTGGATTACGAAAACGTGGAGGAGGTGTTGCCGGAAGGGTTCTTAAACCGGACGATTGAGATTGGTAAGATCATCGGTTGGGCACCACAAGTGGCCATCTTAAGTCACCCCGCAATAGGAGGATTTGTGTCGCACTGTGGCTGGAATTCTATATTAGAGAGCATATGGTTTGACGTGCCTATGGCAGCATGGCCGCTTTACGCGGAGCAGCAGTTGAATGCATCGATGTTGGTGAAAGAGTATGAATTAGCGGTGGAGATTAAGATGGACTATAAGAACGATGACGATGAGGTTTCAATCGTAGAGGCAGAGACGATAGAGAAAGGAATTAGACTGTTGATGGAGCATGACGGTGTCGTTCGACGGAGAATGAAGGAAATGAGTGGTAAGTGTAGGAAGGCTTTAATGAAAGGTGGATCTTCACATTCCATGTTACATCGTTTTATCGATAATGTGGTGGACAATATGCCATGAAATAGCTGGTTTAGTGTGATTACGTTTTAAATTTAAATTCGATACATTCATTTTGCATTTTTTTGAGAAAGAAATTTGTGTAGTTTTATAAGGTAACTGTATAACCACGACTACTGGATTTGCCTATAAGAAAAGAGACGGATGTATCAAAATCTAAATCCAAATGCATTAAAGAACCAACAGCCAGTACTCGTTTATGAACTAAAAAGATAAAAACCAAAAACAAAGATAAGACAATGCTGAACCACCCGGAGAAGTAAACGCATCTAAATATAGCTTAAGTTCTACAAGTGATTTTAGCACTGTGCATATAAAATACTATGAAACTTACATGCCCTATACGTGAGATGGAAAGAAGTACAATCCCTTGCATCTTACCAACGTACATGATAAGAACAGAGAAGATCCGGGGCCAAAAATTTTCGCCGACAGAAACACGGATCCGAACCACAGGGAGATGAGTATTGTTGCCCGACACACAGCATGGATAAACGAAGTACAAAAGACAGCTTTCTGCTCCAAGCCTGGCTCCATTTTGGCTATAACATCAACATATCATACATTCCAAAACTACTAGAACGTTATGGCACGCCCATAGTTAACTGGAACAGGCAACCATGCAGAAGCAAATTCATTTCTTTCCTCTCTCATTTTTCTCATCATAATATCAGTTGTTGTCGTCGTAGTATTCATCGTTGTCTTCATAATAATAATCGTCATCATCATCATAATAATATTCTGCATCTTCATCACCTTTGCCATTTTGCAGCAGTTAACCCCCTTTACCGCTCTTAGATTCGATCTCCGATAGCAGTGCCCCGAAAAACACCCAGAGTTCCAAGTGACGCAACATAACCACATTCCTGATACTGTCTGTTCTATATGCGCATGCACAAGTCATTACTTTATGTTAGGTAATTAAATTCACTCACCATTTTGTGGCAAACTTCTTTAAACATCTCAAGAAATCCGGCAACCCATCGGTCAGCATTTTCCACCCACTCATTACGGTGCATAGCAACAATTTGTATCTGAAAGTATCGCCATGCATTAAATTTCTGATAAGGTGAGGAAACTAGCATTCAAAATTCAGCCAAACAGTACGTGAACACTTACATGTGACAATTTGTTACTAGAACAGCTAATCTCACCATATCCACAAAATTAATGATCCTTCTGAGGGCATGAATCCAGGGGATGGAGGGATTGGAGTTTGAAGCCTAACTACATATTCCTAGTTCAGATGTATGTCATATATTTTTGGTAATCTTGAAAGTCCATAGGCTTGACAAAACGGTAACCTTCTCCACCACAAAATCATGGTAAAATACAAGATTTAAATTCAGACTAATCTGATCAAGCAATGGAAGTGAAGAAACTAGAACCGAACTAAAGAACATAACCCACTATATGCCATGCTGTGAAGGCACTTGATCTCGTATACTGATTTTATAGCTGTAATCTCCAACCAGACAGTCTAGTCACCTAAATCTGACTTCTGTAGCCAGCATGATGGTGCAACATACATTTTTTTGGGTGTTTGTAACTATGTGTGCATATGTGTCCGCGGGTTTATTAAATCATTCATCAATTTTTGGAAGCCAAGGAAAGGTTGAGAGAAAACAAAATAATAGGCAGTTAAGTTGGGAAGCACCACGGCATGGTGGCAAAGAGAGGAAAGGAGATGGATTACAAGTATATAATGTATGGATGATCTGAAGGGTCATAATGCTCTTTAAATTACATAAACATTGTAAGGAATCTGCACAGTTTTTCATTGAATGAAACTGTAAAAGGCTAGATGAAAGCTTGAATAAAGTCTATATTAAATTACATAACCAGGGAGGCACTTCAATCTACATACTGAACTTACAAGGAGCAAAATGCGTTCGAGGACAACTTCTAATGTACTGCTAAAAAGTAAGCTGAATAAAAGACACAATGAAACCCTTCAAGCTAACCATTCTCAATTCTTCAATAATATTGAGAAGAAAAAAACACTGATTCTCAATTTGAGTACAAGAAATATCCTGGATATAGTTCCTCAAAAATTTTACTTAAATAAATTCATGAAGTTTAGACTTTTACCAAGCACATAACATACATCCACATAAACAAAATTTGCATGACAATAACAATGAAAAGTTGACAACACTATAACCAAAGCTAATTTCTCTACTCTATGGTTATTTCTGTAAGAAATGTTTATAACTTCAAGTACCATATTGTTCATGCACAAGCATGAAAAATCTCAGGCAGATTTAAAGAGAATACGTGATAAAATTTGAGACAAAAAGACTTCAAGTACATTCATCACTCTCCGATAAGTTAAAAATTGAGCAATCTTACCTTCCAATAACATACTAGATTCCAATCATACAGCCAAAAAAGGGAACGATCATTAAACTAGATCAACAGCACATGAGAGTGAACATACCTTTTCTCCCACTTTTTCTTCTTGTTCCTTAACCTTTTCTTGTAGTTTCTTCAGTCTCATATTCACTCTCAATCTCTTTTCCTGTTGACATTAGTTGGCAAATCAACAACGGAGCAGTAATTACTCAAACAAGACACTCAGGACAGAGATCTTACCTTCACATAGCTAACTCCAAGATCGAGTATCCACGGTCCAAGTTCCGAAGCACATACTGGTTATAATCTTTAACAATTCTCATAATGATATCTAATGTGGAAATCCCCTCAGTTCGTTGGGTCTCCTTGAACTTGCCAGTAGCTTTAACCTGAAAACAGGAGGTTGCTTAATATAATACAAAAATTTAAAGAACCAAATATAACAACTGCACAGGAGATCGTCTCAATAAACTTACAAACTCATACACATCGTTCGCAGCTCCACAAACAATTTATATGCTTATTTTCTTAACATTGAAGCATTCAACATGAATAAATTAATGTCAAAACAAGAATTGTATGTTCTTACGGAAGCGCATCATGAGCCACATAGTCAATGTTGTGTTTATCTAGAAATTCTTGATCGATCACCCACGGGGTATCAGGAATTACTTCATCAACCCACCAGTAACAAAATGAACAACAAAGTCCTTGAATGAAGTTCTTGATAGGAACATAGTTAAATCACATTTTTATAAACAAACAATGAAAAATCTAATCATAAAAGATGACAACCGATTTACTTTAATTCTTCAAAGAAATTAAAAAGTTGAAGTAAATAAATAATTAAGGATTCATTTGATGGCAGCCTTTGCTACTTGAAATTTACTTCCTCAAAAGCAATAATCAATTAAAAGAGAACAAATGACACAATATCATTTCTAACATAATTATTCTGTAGAAAAGTAAAATTTTGCCTTATCCAAAATTTTACAGTTTTGGGTTCTTCAAATTTACTGTTGTCTTTTGCATCCAAAGGCGTGTTTTGCTTTGAACTCTGAAAAGCAAAACTCAAGCATCGCAAGCAACAGGCGAGGTCTACCCCAAATGAAGCATCCTGAGTGGTTTTCTTTTCATATACACCATATTTTCAGTAAAATAAATAGAAGTGGCTAAGAGCTGAGAGTTATAGAAAGGAATATACTTGCAATGGCGAAGGGATTCATAACGTTCTAAATCGGTCATAACTGTTTTGCCGTTGTACGTATGGGTTGTCTCATCATTGCAACATCCAACCAGAAAATACGTATTGGGAAACCTAAAATTTCAACAACAGAAAAAATAAAAAATATAATCAGGAAAATTTTGAAAAAAGATCATTCAGTAGACGCGTAAGCAAATTCAAGTAACAAGATTATAAATCAGAAATACCTCACAAATAAACAAAATTCATAAACATGAGATGATTTAAGAAAAGTTACACATATAAGAGAAGAAGAAAAAAACCCAAATACGAAGGTTTTGAAAGAAACACATGAATTTGTGAATTTGTGAATTTGTGAGTTTGTAAACACGGAGGGGTGATCCGGATCGTGGTTGGTGCTATTGTTACCGTTGTTCGCAGTAGAGGACTCGTTGTTCATGGCGGAGATTCAATTATTAAGAAGGAAGAAAATTGGAAATTGACTGTTTCGTTATGTGTTCCGCCTTATGACAATAATAATAATTCTAGTAATTTATTATTTTTATTTTTATTACGGCTTCGCATCGTACGCTTCTATTGTATTTGTTTTATTTTTTGGGTTAATTTATGCGTGTATTTTGTCCATTTTTATCACTGATTTTTTTTTTAAAAAAATTATGATTATTTTAACATAAAATATATTTCTTTAAATAAAATAAAATAAAATATTTTAAAATTAAATTAATAATAAAATATATTTAATAAGTTAATATAAAATTATTTTTAATTTGGTATATATAAAATATTATGAATTTAAGTATTTATATACTAAGATTCAAAATATATGTACAACATGTTATCTACTTTAGACTAAGCAATGGACTTGACTTAATGGTTGGATACATGTTAGTTTCCTAAGTGACCAAGGTTTGAATCTTTTTTGCCCCAATTTGCTCTCATTTGTTTTCTTTTAATAAGAGGGTGACACATGTAACTCTTTAATCGGTGGAAATAAATATATTAAATTAAAATAAATTTAGTTCTCCAACCGAATGGTGACACATGGCATGACATGTGGTATTATTCGATTAAAAGATTTAATTTATTTTAATTTATTAAAATTATGACTAAACTGAGAGAATATGTAAATAACATGAAATATATGTGTGGTTATATAAAAAATATTTAACTGCTATTAACGACAACTAACTTTGGGTGACCACATCTTAATTAAATAAAATTGAAAGTGATTATATCTTATGTTTTTTAAAATTAGTAACAAAAAGTAGACAAAACACAAACATAAATAATCATCCGTGTAGTTAACCCTTTATTTTTATAATCACATGTTTTTTTATTTGTGAATTAAATTTAAAATTATAAATATTTGAATCCAAATCTCATGTAACTAAATTAATTCGTAATTACTTTTAATCAATATTTTTATTATATCCATATTATATATATCAAAAAGACTTAT